TATTATTATTATTATTATTATTATTATTATTCGTGGGTTACCTACGAAAAATTCTATAGATAACAACTTTCGTGGGTTATTTACGGAAAATTCTATAGGTAACGTTACCTGCAAAATTTTCCGTAAATAACCCACGAAACCTATTATTATTATTATTATTTTTATTTTTATTATTCGTGGGTTATCTATGGAAAATTCCATAGATAACACCTTTCGTAGGTTATCTACAAAAAAATTCGTAGGTAACATAACCTATGGAATTTTCTAGAGATAACAATTTTCGTGTTTTATCTGCGAAAAAAATTCCGTAGGTAATATTCTGTATATAACTAAACATTACTTACGGAAAAAATTTCATAGGTAATATTCCGTAGACAACTAAAATTTATCTACAAAAAAAATTCCGTAGGTAATATTTCGTAGATAACTAAATATTATTTATGAAAAAAATTTCGTAAGTAATATTCCGTAGACAACTAAAATTTATCTACAAAAAAAATTCCGTAGGTAATATTTCGTAGATAACTAAATATTATTTATGAAAAAAATTTCGTAAGTAATATTCCGTAGACAACTAAAATTTATCTACAAAAAAAATTCCGTAGGTAATATTTCGTAGATAACTAAATATTATTTATGAAAAAAATTTCGTAAGTAATATTCCGTAGACAACTAAAATTTATCTACAAAAAAAATTCCGTAGGTAATATTTCGTAGATAACTAAATATTATTTATGAAAAAAATTTCGTAAGTAATATTCCGTAGATAATAACATTTTTTTTTCTTGTAGTGTATTGATTTGTCTTAGTTAAGTAAAACTCTACTATTTAGCAATTGGATATTAATCCATCTCACCTTTCCAAGATTGATTATGAGGTTTAGTTTTGTCATGATCCACAATTATATAATCACGACCTTGACAAGTGCCACACATTGAAATACATATAACTTAGTATTAATTTAGGCACTACAACAAAATTGATTATTATCGAAATTTATTTAGTGGCAATAAATTAATTGCCTTTATTTTATTATTTAATAAAAATATTAATGACTAATATATAATGGTCACTAAAAATGTACTTATATCACATCAAAATTTATTATTAGCGACAATTATTTATTTGAAAAAACTTAAATCCCACATCGATTAGAAATAAGATAATTAAAGAGTATATAAATGGATGATAACTCTCACCTTACAAGTTTGTTTTGTAAGGTTAAGTTAGACCTATAACTTGCTATTGTAAGTTGATAAAATAATTAATTAGGAGATAAGACAATTAAAAAATATATAAGTAAAAGACAATCCTCATCTTATAAGTCTCATATCGAGTAGAAAGGAAAAAAATGTCACAAAAAGTTATACACTTTTTCCGACCATTATAAGGATTTTTACCAGCATTCAAAATAATTGCCGCTAAATGTTTTAGCGACATTGCATACAATGACTATTGTGGAAATGCCGCTAAAAGATTTTGTAGCAATTTTTATTACCACTAAAAATCATATTAAATGCCACTAAAAATCTATTTTGTTGTAGTGAGAGAATTAAGTGATCCCATCAACGTTGTTTAGACATATAATATAAGGATCCAAATTCATTTTGTGGCAAACAAACCCTTAAGGATCCAAATTCATCAAACACAAAACAGAACTACGACTCCCTTTCAAAATTCAATCCTTAAACCAAATTAATACTTCTATCTACACCAAGTTAAGAAACGGCGCAATCCATCACAACATATAGCATCCCCCATTTTCTTGAAGTTTAAATCAGTCAATAGGTATCCATATTTGTTAATTTTAGTGGAAAATATAATCAAATTCATATTTGTAACAACGTAATCCACGATGATTTCACCTTGTATCAAAATAAGAAAAGTGCTCCCCAGTAGAAAAAGGCACATCGAATTACATTTACAAACGGGAGAAATTGTAACACAGTTTGGCACATCATAGTGCTGACCAATTTTCTTGTGATACCCAACCAATTATCTGTTACTTAAACCGTGTCTCCCATAATATACGCACACATTCATCATCACTTTATTAGTATTCTTTCACGAAAACATGCAGAAATAAAAAGAAGTGAAACATTCAACCACGCAATATCAACGTTTAGATCCAATTTCGAAGGAGATTGGTATTGGTTGAAGGAGAAGTGGAACCTTCTTGTGGACAGTGATCCCGTATTTCTCACTCATGTCTATGCCTTGCACGGAAGCATGAGTTTGTGGCAGCTTCCAATCGAACCAGCGAAGAAGATTAGCAAGTGCATACTCAGCCAAAGTGATCCCAAATGCAATTCCAGGGCACCCCCTTCTCCCAACACCAAAAGGAATAAACTCAAAATCTTGTCCTTTGAAATCTACCTCGCTGTCTTCGAATCTCTCTGGAATGAACTCATCTGGTTTCTCCCAAAATTCAGGATCCCTCTGAATTGCCCATGCATTCAACATTACTCTTGCCTTGGCTGGAATGTCGTACCCTCGTAGCTTCACAGCAGAGGATGTTTCTCGAGGAAGCAAAAAAGGAGCAGGTGGATGTAATTAACCTGAGAGTTTCTTTGACTACACACTTCAAGTATTCATTTGTTTCACATCGTTTTCATCCACTTCTGCTTTGTTCACGACCACTCTTCTTACCACTTCTTGGACCTTTTCCATGGTATTTGGATTCTTCATGAGCTCTGCCATAGCCCATTCCAAAGTAGTTGAAGTTGTGTCACTTGCCCCTATAAACATGTCCTGAAATTATGGAAAATGGAAATTAATTAAAGCTCATTAATTGTTAGAAATAGTTGCCTCAAAGTTTTTAAAGATGAATACCACTAGCAATGCTTTGAGGTTATCTTGGGAGAGGTCAAAGCCGAGCATTCGAGCCTCCTCAAGTTGAAGGAGAATATCCACGAAGTCTTTCTTATCAGATTGACAATCATCTGCACCTTTCTTCTTCATCTTTGTTTTATGTTCTGCAATCACCTGATCAAAGAAAACATCTAACGAACTAAGGGTGGCCTTTAACTTCCGAATTCGGCCCGTTAGAACATCAACCCAACTCAACGAGGGTGTTAGTTTATGAATTATCAAATAATAAAAGCTTATTTGATAGGTAGAAAGAATGGGGAAGCAAATTTATAATGAAAGACTTAGTTGAGAGAAAAACTAGCTAAGAAGAATAGTTGGAATAGATTTGAGTAGTGAAAATGACTTACTAATTGCTTAGTATACAAATGTTGGGTACATGACTTATTTATAGGCCTCAACACCACATTCATGTTTTGTATAGAAAACTTTAGAGATATCTATTTCTATAATTTTCTATCTATATGTAATTATCTACATGATTCTAGAATTTGTATCTAGTAATTACTAGCATACTTATGTATTTTTCTATAAGAATCTAGATTATTCTATAAGTTTATATCATATTTTAACATAGGGGAAGAAATCTCCGACACAGAAAGCCGTGAACAAACTCACCAACTTCCTCCCAAGCACTCCGAAGCTTCTACTACCATCGGGTGAGTCATACCTTTGTCCAAAAACGCACCTAGACAATGTGTTGTTGGTGAGTGCAATCAACAACTCACTCAGATGCACGCATGAGCTTCCACTGGCACAAGCCTCGCGTATGGCAGCGATCATTTCCGCGACTTCTTCAACGCGGATGAACTGAAACGACCGCACGCTTTTCATGCTGACGAGCTCGAGAACGCAGACCTTCCTTTTCTGTCTCCACTCCTCGCCGTAGGGGGAGAAACCAATGTCCTTGTAGCCGTAGAAAAAGACTCCAGTAGCGGTTGTCTTGGGGCGGTAGGAGAAAACGACGTCGTGGTTTTTGAAAATTTCTGCGGCCACGTGTGCAGATGAAACGATCAGCGTTGGGATCTGGCCCATTTGAAGCATCATGAGTGGGCCATAGTTGCGAGAGAGGGCTTGCAAGGAACGGTGTGGCAGCGTGCCTAGCTGGTGAAGGTTTCCGATGAAGGGTAGCTTGGGTGGGGATGGAGGTGCGTTGGATTTGCTTCTTCTTCTGATCTTAAACACCACCAACCCCAATGCCACGCTCAGAAAGACGCAAAGCACTGATAAGTTGATGGCTGAATATGTTGATTCAAGAGCCATTTCCTTGTACTCTTTCCAAGGAAAATGCCGAAATGTACCATTGTAGCGCGTCCATTTATAGACATTTTTGTCTTCATATCGTTCAATAATGCCAACCAATTATGCAATGCAATCAATCTTTCCCGCCTAAGTTTCCAGCTTATTTTATTTATTACATTTCTTTTCTATTTATAATATATTTATATATTCTTACTTTTCTTAATTTTATTAAATTAAGTTTTTGGATCTTTTCTATAAGATGAGATGCACTATGTGTAAATTACCTTGTTTAATCAGACTTTAATGATGGCATGCAACCAATGCTATTAATTTAAAGTAGGTGGTTAAAGAATGTGAGGAAAACAATTTAAATAATATAATAATTATCAATTAAAATAAAATATTGAAAAGAATTAAAATATAGTCTACAGTTGTAATAATTGATAGTAAGTGTGACTACTTTTAAAAAGTTAAAGTTGATACGATAATGCTTTGTTTGTATTAAAATATTGTCTTATAAGCAAAAATTACGTTCTATATATGAGCATTTCAATCTAGTGAGAATGCGTTAATCATGTCATAAAAACAAATTATACAATAAATATATGAGGTAGGTTAAGGAAGGAAGAGGGAACGTGGTTATAAATAATTTATAACTGTCTGTGAGTCAAATGTATTAATTAAATATTTAATGGGTACGTAAGATTTTTTGTATTAATTATATAATATTTTAATATATTATTATTGTTTTAGTTCAAAATACAATATTTTATTATGATTATTTTAAGAATAATAATATTTTTTGTTCAATAAAATCTCAATATCAAATAAATGTATCTTTTAATTAAGGAACAAATTTTTCTAAAAACATTATTATATTACACAATAAATAGTATAACAACTAAAATACCATTATTTATATATATAAGCAATCAAATGCCAACACATAAAAATGGCTATACATATAAATAGCCACGAGAACCAACTCTAACATAAATAACATCACACAAAGTAAAGATATATAAATCACAGTAATAATGGCTTTAACAACGAAAACATTTAGAACTTAGCTTAAAATGTAAAGGATTTTGGTTTAACGTTCAGTGGCACTTTCGTTGAGACAACAAATGCGAATATCTCAGTCATATCTATATTTAGTGCATTAGAATCTGCAGGCAACGTCCAATCAAACCAATAAAGAAGGCTAGCAAGCACATACTCAGTAGCAGCAAGTGCAAAATTCATTCCAGGACATCCTCTTCTCCCAAAACCAAATGGAATTAACTGAAAGGATTCTTGACCTTTAAAATCAACTTGACTCTTTTCAAATCTCTCTGGCATGAACTCTTCTGGACTTTTCCAAAATTTAGGATCTCTTTGAATTGCCCATGCATTGATAATTACATTTGTTTTTGCTGGAATATCATATCCATTTAGTTTCACACTAGACCTTGTTCCTCTAGGAGCCAAAAGAGGAACAGGTGGATGTAACCTTAAAGTTTCTTTGACTACACATTTTAGAAAGTGCATTTCATTAATATCATTTTCTTCCACATTTGATTTATGGCCTACAACTCTTCTCACTTCTTCTTGTACCTTTTTCATTGTCATCGGATTTCTTACAAGCTCTAAAATAACCCATTCTATTGCCGATGCGACCGCATCAGTACCTCCCAAAAGAAAGTCCTAAAATAATAGAAATAAAATTTTCATCAAACTTTTTAACAATTCATTCATTTTGGCAAGGAAGAATTAAAAACTATCCATTGTAAAGTAAATGCCGGTAATATTTAAATAACTTCAAATATACTTTACATTCTACTTTTAATTTTTAAGTAAGCATAAAAACAACGTACGTATATAAGCACATATCATTTGAAAATAACCTTTTTTCTTTAATGTAAGAATGAAAATGATCCATTTGAATTCTTAGATTAAAAATATACAATTAAAGTTAAAAAAACATTTAAAATCACTAACACAATTGTTACAAATGTTGTTGTCGTTATTGTTGTCATTGTAATTGTTATTACTATCATCACTATTGTCATCACATGTCATTTACTATTAGAATTTATCTTATTATATGTGATTTTTTCTGCGAATTTTGTATTAAAATCTGCGGTAAACAATATTCTTACGAATTTTGTTTGCGAAATTTTATCTACAGGTAATACCTTTGTAGATAATATGTTTTTGCGAATTCTAAAATTCGCAAGAAATTTTCCTGCGAAAAAAATTTGCAGGAAAGTTTCTTACAAAAAAAAATTTACAGAAAAGTTTCCTACAAAAAAGAATTCGCAGGAAACTTGCAGGAAAGTTTCCTGCGAATTTTTTCGGAAGAAATTTTGCAGGAATATTTTTTACGAAAAAAATCAAAGAAATTACTACAAATTCTATCAATAATTCTTCAACTTTCAAATGCTGACAATGAATTCATCCGAAACATTTGTTTCCATGTCTCCAACATGTGATACATAATCTTTTGAACTCTAAAATTGTAGATTATAAGTCTAACAGTCAACCATACAAATCACTTGTAAGGTAAGTGTTGCCCCAACTTATATACTCTTTAATTGTTTTATTTTCAATTGATGTGGGACTTAAAGTTTCTTTTTTAAATATTAAACTTATAAATTTAAATATTTTTTTGATTTTTCCCGCGGATTAAAATTGGCAGGAAAATCCACAGAAAAAGTTACCTGCAAAATTTTTCTAACAAATATTACTTGCGAATTTATTTTTACAAGAAAATATGCAAGAAATAAAATAAAATTATTATAATATTTTCTGCAAATTTTTACCATGAAAAAAATGTATATGATCATTAAAATTGTAGCAAAAATTTGCAAAAGTTTCTTGTAGATTATTTTTCATAAAAAAATTTGTAAGAAATATCTTTAAATTATTTTTCGCAAATAAATTCGTAAAAATTTTTTGTAAAATTATTATTGCAAAAAAAATTGTAAAAAAATTCTACAAATATTTTTTTTGTAAAATGATTTGCAGAAAAATAACATTTTTTTAGTAGTGATTGTTATTATCACTATATACCATGGTGATAACAATAGTGTCAACAATGATAATTGTGATAATAGTAATGGCGATAGTGGTAGATTAGTATTGGTTGCCTTTAGTTTACCATTACAACATGATTTTTGTCATCATTATTTTTGTCAATCGTTAAATTAAAATTTTTTAATATATAAATCAAGTTTACAAATTTTTAAAAAATTTAAAAACTATTTGATTCTTCGATTTAGTAATTTAAATTGACAGATAATTATAAAATTATTTAATATGTTGATTTGAATTTATATAATAAAATATTAAATAATTTTCAATTTTTAAAAATTTATAAACTTGATCTATATATTTAGAATTTTTAATTTAACGATTAGATCGTTAAAATTTAATGTAGAATAAAAGTAATTAAGTGAAATAAGTCTATCAAGACTTTTTATTGGAGTAAATGAATATATATATATATTTGTAGTTCTGAGTGAGGGAGTTAGTTTGTTTATGAAACAGATTGAAGAGTGAGTGAGAAAAGAGAAGGGGAACGAGGAGCATTACCGTTATAATTCCTTTGATATCATTTTTGGTGAACTCAATGTTCAACGTATTATCCTCTTGAAGTTGGAGGAGGATATCCACAAAGTCTTTTTCTTTGGAGTTGGTCTTGGCTGTGATTTGCTCTGCTATGGCTTCATCCAATGCAGCATCCAACTCTTCAAAAGTGGTCTTGCATGCTCGAATCTTTCCCGTGAGAACATCAATCCAACCCAACAAAGGAAAGTGATCCCTCACAGTGAAAGCCGCAAGATGAACTAAGACTTTCCTTATCGAGTCCTTCACCTTGTTGTAATTATGTTCCGAATAGTTCCGTCCGAAAATACACTTGTACACGATTTTCATGGGGGTTGACAAAAGCAACTCCCTTAGATTCACGGAGCGCACATCAGCTGAGCTTGCTTCACGTAGCTGATTCACCAACTCCGCAACTTCTTCTACTCTGATGAGACGAAAGGATTCCACCACTTTGGTGCTTAAAAAGCGTTGAACGCATACTTTTTTTTTCTCTCTCCAGTTTTCTCCATAGAGTGCAAACCCAATGTCTGTGCAATCATACAGACAGAGTTTCGCAGCAGTGGTGTGGGCTCGGTCCGAAAAAGCTATGTCATGAGTTTTCGTAATTTCCCTGACCACATCTGCGGATGAAACCACGAGAGATGGAGTCTGCCTCCCCAACTGCATCATCATCATATCACCATACTTGAGAGAGAGATCTCTGAGGGAGCGATGTGGGAGTGCACCAAACTGATGAAGATTGCCTATGATGGGTAGTTTTGGTGGAGACGGAGGCAGATTCAGTTTGGTTTTGGATTTGGTTCTTCTTATCAGCTTAAACAATATCAGAACGCTGATAAAGAAGGAAAGAGATAGATATAAGGTAGAAGAGAACGCTCCTTTCATTTGCTCGTAACTCCATTGTTTGAGACCCATTCTTTCTTCTACCACATCTATCAATGTTAGATTCCACCAAGCATTTATAACCATTCATTGCTGACGCATGAGATTATTCTCGGTTGCTTACAAAATTTTTATTTTTATTTTTTATTTTATATTACTAAACATAGTTGACTTTGTTTACTCTCTTTTTTTTTTTATCAATTTATTTTTATTTATGGAAAATGTTGCAAATATTTTTTCAACTGTAAATGAAAATGAAATTAAAATGTTGCAAATAAATTCAGACATGGATCATGCGATTGTTATTATATATATTTTTGCTTTTTTCAGAATAATACAATTGTCATAAAAACGCTAGTTAAGCCGTGCACTCGTATAAAAATTGAATAAATATTTGATTAATTAATAGATTTTATTCAACCCATAATCTCTTCTATAATTTTATAATAAGTAACTATCATTGTGATACCCTCTATCCCAAACATAAATATATAATAAATGATTAAATAATATTTGAGTGAATAATAACTTTCATAGTTAAACAATGTCTCAAATAACATAGAAGTAAATGATTTACATTTATAAGCATAATTCATAATTCAAATATGAAATTTACAAAGGAAATAAAACTAAAGTTTTCCAAAACGAAATAATAAAATGAAGTCCTAAATTAGTCATGTCTATACTTCAATGTCACATGTCCTATTAGAGCACGTCCAATATTGAAGTTTAAGCTTTATCACCAACATCCTCCTCTTGATGATCACCTGCATCATAATTGCAAACATACACAAACAATAGGAGAGTGAGAAATATCTCACTTATTAGGTTCAAGTGCATAAACAATTGTCAGATAACGCACACACAAAGCAATCACAATCAAGACACTACAAAAAAATGTGTGATTTGTTGCGGTTATTTTTGCAGTTTCTAGCGGTTAAAAACCGCCACAAATCGAATTACCGGCGTCATCATCAACCGCCAGGTCCGCGGTTGCCAAAAACAGTTTGTGGCGTAGATTTTGTAAACGCTGGTTTTGCGCGCCAAAAAATTCAAACACTTTATGGCGGTTTTAAATCGCCACAAAATGCATCTTAACGTTACTCATTTTACATTTTCTGGCGGTTTAAAACCGCCACAATATTCATCTAAGTTTTTCTTAATTTAAAATTTTTGGGGGTTTTTAACCCCCACAAAATTCATCTAAAATGTGCTTGATTCATCTTGGTTTAAATTTGTATACAAATAAATTAATTAGAAATTGACATACATGAATTACATTGATAAATGATATTTTACCTATAAAAAGAATAAAATGTATTTATCATCACAATAAAAACTATGAAAAGATAAATAAAAGTTGTGATATGGTATAGTGGCTATGAATTATTTTTAAGCTTCCAAAGATAACTATCTGCTTATGAACAAGCCTGCAGCATCAGCATGGACTAAGGTCCTGTCAAAATTATCTCTAGTGCAAAAATTGGATTTAAAATCGGAGTTTTAAGATCGGTTATAAGGTAACCGATCTTAAAAGTGACGCGGTAGAAATTTTGTAAATAACATAAACACTTTTAAGATCGGTTAAAATGTAACCGATCTTAAAAGTACTTTTAAGATCGATTATTTTATGACCGATCTTAAAAGTATGCCTGACACAACTTTCAAGATCAGTTACAAAAGAACCGATCTTAAAAGTGGCACTTTTAAGATCGGTTCTTTTGTAACCGATCTTAAAAGTTTCACTTTTAAGATCGGTCAAAAAATAACCGATCTTAAAAGTATTTTTAAGATCGGTTATTTCATGACCGATCTTAAAAGTGACACTTTTAAAATCGGTTATTTAAGAACCGATTTTAAAAGTGCTACTTTTAAAATCAGTTATTACAGAACCGATTTTGTATGTGGTATACAAAATCGGTTCTTAAATAACCGATTTTAAAAGTATCGTCAAAAATCTTTTATATTCCCATCCATTCTCATTCTCTTTAATTTTTCCCTCCATTCCTTTTTTTAATCTCTTACACTCTTATTTTCTAAAGTCTCCAAGGTAAATTTCATTTTCATTTTCGTCTTCTCATGTTCTTATTGTAACTCTTTTCGTTTTCTCATACTCTTCTCATCTCTATTTTCGTTGTAGGTTCAGTTTGGGCAAAATTCGAACCTGGAACGGCCTGTTCTGCAAGGAGAACGGGCTGTTCTCCTTGTAGAAAGGACCGTTCTGCAAAGAGAACGGGCCGTTCTCCCTCGAGAACGGGCCGTTCTCCCTCGAGAACGGGCCATTCTGCAAGGAGAACGGGCCGTTCTCCCCCCGTACTGAAAGTTAAGTTTTTGGTCTTTTTGAACAGACTGGAACGGCCCGTTCCAGTTTATTTTTTTTCACCGTCCAGACTTTTAAGATCGGTTATAAATCAATCAATCTTAAAAGTCTACTTTTAAAATCGGTTTATAACCGATCTTAAAAGTCTACCTTTTCAAAATCAGCTCTTTTAAGATCAGTTCCATAACCGATTTTAAAAGTCCAAAATAACCGATTTTAAAAGCCTTTTTTCTACTAGTGTATGATGCAGCAACAATAGACAAAGAAGAAAATTATGTAGAAACTAAGCGTGACCAATTTATAGTCCAATGTGCTCACTCAGAGTCACAAGAAACTTTGAAAGTAAACTTTGTTCTATATGACCATGACCAATTCAGAAAAAGACAATTATGATTTGTGAAGATTGACCTTATATTTAATCAAGAGGTTCTAGCTAAGTCTGGCACCCATCAGGATCGCAAGCATGCTAGTAATTTCTCTTCATGTCTTGGTGAATCTTATCATAATGTAACATAAGGTCCTCAGATTTTTGTTTAAGAAGTTTGAAACATCTACTAAGGTTAGAGTTAAGCATTCTGATTCTACCTTAGTTTTACCTGAGTTATTTTTTTCATGGGAAAAATATGCTAATTAGTTATGTAGCAGTTTCTTTTTGAATTCTAAACTGAACTAAGGTCGCTTTAGTTAGCTTTCTTTTAGTTTCACCTACCTCAGTATTTAGTTTTTAACATCATGGATAAATCTCTACAAAGTACAAACCTATCACAGGCATATCTGGACCAAGTTCCCATGATCCGTACCATTGATTTTAGGACCACAAAACAGAAAAATAAGAATCTCAGGTTTTTTAGATGACAGCTGCAAAACACATAAAAAAGTTATCAAATAATTTCTCATTATCATTTAGCGTGATTTTTGTACTTTACCAGGTTACCACTTCCACCGTGGATATGGTTCAGGATCAAACAATTGGCTCATACAATTGGAGGTATGTGAGACTCCTGAACTTTGAACTAAGTTCACCAATGACAGGGCACAATAGTAGTTAAACAACTAGGTGATTCAAAATTCTAAATATCAAGCACCAACATACATACATACATATATATATATATATATATATATATATGTATGTATGTATGTTGGTGCTTGATATTTAGAATTTTGAATCACCTAGTTGTTTAACTACTATTGTGCCCTGTCATTGGTGAACTTAGTTCAAAGTTCAGGAGTCTCACATACCTCCAATTGTATGAGCCAATTGTTTGATCCTGAACCATATCCACGGTGGAAGTGGTAACCTGGTAAAGTACAAAAATCACGTTAAATGATAATGAGAAATTATTTGATAACTTTTTTATGTGTTTTGCAGCTGTCATCTGCATAATGATTCTAAATTCTAAAAGGATCGACCTCACAAGCAATGTCAACCATGTAATCTACAAAAGTTTGATTAGATATCATATGTCTAGATCTCAATCAAAGCCGAGAAAAGTAACTAATAGCAGTGTTTTAGAAACATAGAACACATTTCTCATTTAATTTTCTTACATAAAAACCCAATCTTATAAGAACTTGGTTAAGATACTCTCCATATTAGAGATGCTCCGAATGTAAGAAACCGCTTCATATGGTTAAAGACAATAGAAATAATATGCAGAGCTCATTTAATTTTTTAATGATTATACTATTAGAATACAAAATTGTTAAAAACTCTATTAAGCACATTCAATTTAAATACATCATTGAACATACTTTTAAATTATTCTCACTCATTCCACAACTACTAGGAGTACCAAGCAACCATCGAAAACCTCAAATCACATTAGCATTAGTGCAAGTCTTGATCATTTATATGATACCAAAATTAATTTGTACAAAAGAGTATATGTTGTTCAGAGAGGTTATCCTTTTCAATAAATATCAGTGCCTTATATGATCAGAAAAGTTCCTATTGTATTTTACAAGCCTGAACTGAACCAAAAATGCCACCCCTTCGAATTTGAGGGTACCGCGGAAACATAAAAAGAATAGAGCCAAAAATTCAAACAGGGAAAGCAAAATGCACACAAGACTGAGTGAGCTATACCATCCTTCCACAAATAAACAAGTTAACAGACCAAATTCTCAAAACACAAAAAGACGTGACATTACACGAGAAATGGCATCACCAAAAGTGAAGTTCAAACAAGTGACAAAATATCATCCACATTATAACACCAACTATCGAAAAACAGAACTAATGCAAGCAGGAATAACAAGCTCGGCGAGGTTCAAAAATAAAACAGAAGTGTGCGTTTAGTTTATCATCAGGATGGTATTCAACAAACTTTCACTTGATCCAATTCATAAAACGATTTTCAAAAACGATTGCATATACACACTGACAAAGCGGTAAATCAAGAGCAGCAACAAGTTACAAAAACTCAGGCGCGTTAAATTTTCAATTGCATATTCCTCAATTGTTTCATGTAACACCCCAATTTTCAAAAAGCTTTCATTTATTGTTGTTTATTATATTATGAATGAACTAATTATGATGATAATGTGTAACTATGTATGTTATATATTACTATATGTGTTGTTTATGTTTGGCTAGCTGGTTGCATTCTTGTGTTGTGAGCCAGAGTGAGATGTTTCTCACTCCCTTCCTCTTTTGTTTTGTTTTCTTGTGGTTGTTGCATGTGATCATCAACATGGTACTGAGGATATTGATGATAAG